GCGCAATGATCCCGTTCATGCACCGCTGGCCATCTGGATGAACGGCGGGCCCGGCAGCTCGTCCATGATCGGACTACTGCAGGAAAATGGCCCGTGTCTTGTAAACGCCGACTCCAACTCAACGGAGATCAACCCCTGGTCGTGGAACAACTACGTCAACATGCTGTACATTGACCAGCCGAACCAGGTMGGGTTCAGCTATGATGTCCCTACGAACGGGACCTATGACCAGCTGACTAGTGCGTGGAATGTATCCGCATTCCCGGACGGTAAAGTGCCGGAGCAGAACAATACATTGTATGTGGGCACGTTTCCCAGTATGAATCAGACGACTACGGCGAATACGACGGAGAATGCGGCACGCTCGCTCTGGCACTTTGCGCAGACGTGGTTTTCTGAATTCCCCGAGTACAAGCCGCAAGATGACCGAGTGAGTATCTGGACTGAGTCTTATGGTGGGCGGTACGGGCCGTCGTTCACGGCGTTCTTTCAAGAACAGAATGAGAAGATTGAGCGGGGGTTGTTACCAGATGAGTATCATTATATTCACCTGGACACTCTGGGGATTATCAATGGGTGCGTGGATTTCTTGACGCAAGCTCCCTTCTACCTGGATATGGCGTACAACAATACCTACGGCATCGAGGCGATCAACAAAACCGTCTATGAAAGGGCAATGAATGCGTGGAGTAAGCTTGGTGGCTGCAAGGATTTGATAGTTGAGTGCCGTGAGCTAGCGGCTGAGGGAGATCCCACCATGTCCGGGCGCAACGAGACGGTCAACGAGGCCTGTCGAAAGGCGAATGACTACTGCAGTAACCAGGTGGAGGGTCCCTACGTACTCTTCTCCGGCCGCGGCTACTACGATATCGCGCACTTTGAACCAGATCCATTCCCGCCACCCTACTTCCAAGGCTTCCTGAACCAGAACTGGGTGCAAGCCGCGCTGGGGGTGCCCGTCAACTTCTCCATCTCAGTGGACAGCTCATACAACGCCTTCGGCTCGACGGGCGATTACCCGCGCTCCGATGTTCACGGGTACCTCGAGGACCTCGCGTATGTCCTCGACTCGGGGATCAAGGTGGCGCTCGTCTACGGGGACAGGGACTACGCCTGTCCCTGGAACGGCGGCGAAGAGGCAAGTCTGCGCGTCGACTATTCCGATTCGCATTCGTTCCAAGCGGCCGGCTACGCCCCGGTCCAGACCAACTCGTCGTACATTGGGGGCCGTGTGCGGCAGTACGGCAACTTTTCATTCACGCGTGTCTTCGAAGCAGGCCATGAGGTGCCGGCGTATCAACCCCAAACAGCGTATGAGATCTTCCACCGGGCTTTGTTTAACCGTGACATTGCGACGGGGAAGGTGTCACTGCTGGAGAATGCCACCTACGCGAGCGAGGGGCCATCGTCGACGTGGGAGATCAAGAACAAGGTACCGGAGAGTCCAGAGCCGACATGTTATATCCAGTCATTGCGGAGTACTTGTACCGATGAGCAGATCCAGAGCGTGGTCAACGGGACCGCTTTGATCAAAGATTGGATAGTGGTGGAGAAAGAAGTGGATATTACGAGGCATGTTGATAGGACATACCTTATATAGATACCGGGTAGATACCTATACTTTGTGGATATATGGTGCTTCATCTACCCCGCAATAGGCAAGCCCGCCACAATCTGGAACAAGAGCTTAACAGTCGATATATTTAGAATGCATGGCTTAGCAAGGTAATACTCCACTGCTACTATTGCTACAAAGAGATTGGCGTTCCCTGACACCGACTTGATATCATACATTGACCAATCGAAGCTTCTCGAACTTTCTATGCCTCAGGCGGAGAACTGGGCCATCAACGTCACACGTCACTCCCTCAGCGATGCAAGATAACCGGCCATCAGCCCAACCACTTCTCTTCCTCCTCTTCCTCTCGTCTGTTCTCTCAAACAAAACATATTAGGGTGGCTTTGTATTGTGCATATATTGCATAACTTGCAATCGGATAGTTCGCTGTCGACCGTTGAAAACCGTGCAACTGCAACTAACTACAAGCCTCATCTTATCGCCAACAGGAATCTTCTACGTCATTCGAGATTCCCCTTCAGCCTACACCAATCTTCTCCACAACGCAATACGCACCATCGCATGACGGGTGTAATAGTCGCCTGATTATATCCCCAGCCTAATCGTTTATATTATCATTGCTCTCTTGTCCGATAACACAGCACACTGAACATAGGCATACGCAATGGTTGCCGAAACAAAACTATACGACGCGCTAAACATCAAACCCGATGCCTCACAAGACGACATCAAAAAGGCCTACCGGAAAGCGGCCTTGAAATATCACCCGGACAAGAACAAAGATGATCCCAAGGCGTCGGAGAGATTCAAGGGTAAGTTGCCTCCAATCACGAGACTTTGGTAATCAGGAGGGTGAGCCGTGCTAACAAAAGCAGAGGTCTCCCAAGCTTACGAAGTCCTATCCGATCCCGAGAAACGTAAAGTCTACGATCAATACGGCCTCGAGTTTCTATTGCGCGGGGGGCCGGCACCCGGGCCCGGCGGTGCCCCCGGTGCAGGCGGATTCGAAGGCTTCGAGGGCGGCGGCATGCCTGGCGGGTTCGCCTTTGGCGGGATGCCCGGCGGCGGGGGAACCCGCACGTTCCATTTCTCGACTGGTCCTGGCGGCGGCGGCGGCGGCGGGTTCCGCTTCAGCTCGGCGGATGATATCTTCCGAAACTTTGCGAAGGCGAGCGGGGGCGGTATGGGCGGAGGATTGGAAGATGATGACCTGTTCAATATCCTTGGCGGGCTAGGTGGTGGTGGTCGTGGGTTCAGGACAAGTCGCGGCGCTGGTGCTGGTGCTGGCGGTGCTGGAGCTGGAGGATTCCAGCAGGCGAACCGGGCGCCAACGCCTGAACCGACGGTCGTGGAGAAGGAGCTACCGCTGACGTTGGATGAGCTTTTCAAGGGGACGACGAAGAAGGTGACAGTGAAGAGTAAGACGTTCGATGCGAGCGGGAAGCGGACCGTCCAGGACGTGACGCTGGAGGCCAATATCAAGCCTGGGCTGCGGACAGGCTCGAAGATCAAGTACCGCGGTGTCGGGGACCAGGAAGAGGGCGGACGCCAGGACATCCATCTCATCGTTACAGAGGTAAGTCTTTGCGATTCCGTCACTCAAAGGTCCAAGTCCGGATAGTGCTAACAGCCGAGTAGAAACCGAACCCCAACTTCAAACGCCAGGGCGACAACCTCATCACAACAGTCGAACTCTCTCTCAAGGAAGCCCTGACAGGCTGGGAACGGATCGTGCGCACCATCGACGGCAAATCCATCCGTGTCTCCAAGCCCGGTCCCACACCACCAGGCTACGAAGAAAAGTTCCCGGGCCTGGGCATGACGATCTCAAAGAAGCCGAGCGAGCGGGGCGATCTCATCGTCCGCGTGAACGTGAAGTTCCCGGCCAGTCTGACGGCCGCGCAGAAAGATATCCTCAAGGATGTACTGCCATGATTTAGATTTGTCTACATGATAAGCATTATCGGCGTTTGGGAGTCGAGGGAAACGACTGGCTTGTTTATGATGATGTGAATTTATTGATTGCTACTCTGTCGGAGAGCTGCACAAAAACTTTTCCATAATTATAATTCAATATCAATTTCTAAATATTAGAAGCTGGTTTGAACGGACTGATGTGGAACTATATACCCGTCAGGCATTTCCCCGCTCAATCTGTATGCCAGGATCGCTTCAAGGAGTACGGTTCAATATCCTTACCGCACACGTATAGGCTATAGCAAACAGCAGGGGACATTGTGTACATATCCACCGTTTTCGAAGGAAGCTTGCCTCACCAGATGGTATCTAATCAGGGGAGAAGTATCTTCAAATTTGTACTCGATAGACTGACTAGAAATAAAAAAAGCTCGGAATACATGCGACAAACTGTAGGATTGAACGACTCCTGCAACTTGAGATTCGATATACAATAGTCCACTTATTTAACTATGGATGCGACTCAGTCCAGCATATAGTGATCTGTTCTTCAGGTCCCTGGAATGGTCAGGCATGCTAAGGGAGAGGGCCATGAAACAAGTTTACTTCACCAAGTGTCACTGTCGTCCCAGTAGTGCAGCATACAGGTGATAATGCCTGCTGCACCATGGTCACATCACGAAGAAGGGGAAGAATGAATCGCTTGATATCGCTACCTGGATCTGTCTAGAGAGAGAAAGGAAAGGAGAGGGGCGTTTGCCCAGCAAGTAGCCTCGGATCAAAGACAGGCCCGTCTGTATCAAGACCACATGAGTTGCCAGTTCGGCTTATAGTAGGTACCGTAGAATAATATGATGGAATATGAAGATATTGATTGATTCGTTACTGGATGTAAAAGTATGAAGACTATCGTATAGAGGTAGGTATCTTCCTACTACGCGAGATCACCGCCATACCTGGGTTGGAACGATTCGCTGTTCGGGACCACGTAGCTTGGGGGTAACGGCCATGGAAACTGCCACACGGTTTATTCCAGGCTGCTCTTTGGGGTGCAAGACGACGAGAGTGCGTACTTGGATTTTCGTATTTGTCAAACTAGTTTGTGGACTTCTTGTTCAGGATCTAGATGGATTGTGAAACGGTCATTTCTTCACTGCTTTTTGATGACCGGAGTTGATATTGGCATGAGGGAGTAGTATCTCCAACATCGTAATACTCTCATCGGTTTGACGCTCTGCAACCAGGTGCGCTGGAGTAGTCCCGCGGGCGTCTTCATGTTTAACACCAACTTTCCGTCCTAACACGCATCTGGTGAGCCGTAACGCTTGGGTCATCCCAACCAAGATGCCCTAAAAGAGCCGCTGCAAGATGGGTACGCGGCATTAGGAATACGGACGGCTACCAAGGGCTAGTAATCGGAAACTGCAAAGTTGTCCCGTCGGGCCACATGTCAGGCGAAGTTAGTGATCGCAGGTGTTTCTGAAGTCTCACAACGGTGCCAGTTCTAGACGCCTCCAATCGCGTTGACTCTCGTTGGCTGCCATAAAAACAATAGATAATCCAAGTTCATATTCATGCCGGAACTCATGTCCGCTGCCGGACCGTAGTTCAGCAACGATTGCCGGATAGCATTCGCCTCGACGCCTGTATCCCACCATCTTGTCACTGTCGAGAAATCAGAGGTGAACCCACGCTCAATGGCCCAGCTCCGGTTATGCTGAGTCATTACAACAAGATACATCGTGTGAGCCCTATGGGTCGGGACTCCGCGATAGAACTGCTCGTCTGGGTGGCCCCGGATTTCCAGTCGATCAAGGTTCATTTCTTCAGTAACGAAACGGGCTGGTGTTGGGTGAGTGATGCATAGGCGCTAATGGCTTCCTCGTCGTCCATCGTAACTGACAGTTCCGTGATTATTCCAGGAAGGGCCTTGGGCCATTCCCTTTTTATGAAGCCAGCATTGGAACGTATTGTCGGTCAGATACTCATAAATCAATCAACACCAACATCCATCAGCCGTCTCACCGTATCCTGGCGCCCGGAGCGCACAGCTTTCATAAGAGAGGTTTTACCATTGGCGTTCGGTAGGTTTGGGCCAATCTGGGCTGTCTGATTGTGTAAAAGGAACTCCATGAATTCCACGCCATGCGGACTTTCCACCCCATAGTGCCATGATGTATTATGGCTATTGTTGTCAATTCCGGGTGTTTAGCTGCTGAATATTGCCCGCAATTGACGCTATATTCTGTCTGACTTCTCTGTCGTGTCTTTCCTGTTTGTCGGTGTGCAAGGGCAACTGTGGGATTCTGGCAGAGGTGAGCTCGCTCATGCGACTGAACATATCGTCGGAGGTTGTGAGCCACAAGCCGCGGATGGAGCTGGTCCAAAATAGGTTCGAAGATCAGTCTATCACCTGTTCGCGCAGCAAGTGTGATAATCCTTTGAGTTCCTGCAAGTTTGACATTTGCGTCGCTGATAACATGCAGGTTCGTTGCCTGGCTTGACTTGGTGGTAATCTGAAGTTCTCGTGATCTCGTCTTCAACAGTGCTTTGCGGCATTAGGCCCAATTGGGTAAACTCTGATGGATTGAAGTTTTGCTCTTCATCTTCAGTGGCTATATGTCTTGTCTCCCTTCTGTGGGTTTGGAAAGCCCTAGCTTCCAAAACTGGCCTGTAAACACGCAAGATGGTGATCTGGCTTTATTCCACTGGCATGGCAAGATAGGACGTTCATCGGGCATCTTGAGGTCGCCGAAAAAGAAAGTATTGTATTCCCCATCGTCTTCACGGCGCTGTTCCTGCTTTTCCCGTCCATAGACATATGACATATGAGTTAGCTGCATAAACTTATCAGCAGTCTCACATGCCGCGTCAGCTGCGAAGTGCTTGGGAGTGGTGTAGATGACATGAATGCCCAGCAGACGGCAAACAGCTGCGATTTCCATCAAAGCCAAAGTTTTACCCGTCCCTGAAAAGCCTTGTATAAGCAGAAGACGTTCTGGGAACTCACGGAGCGACTTGATAACTTTTCGCCGAGCGGCTGTCCAGGTTATGCCAGGAATATTGAGCACAGCGTTGATCGCTGTCTGGACTTCCTGACTCCGACGAAATTACGATCCATAAACAGCATGAATATCCACGAAAGATACAAGCTGATTTGCTCAGCCATGAATGATGAAAACTCACCCCTTCCCCCCCTGACCGTCTCAGAGTGATGTCTCTGCATCAGCCAATCATGTCCTCCAATAACCTCGGCACTCTCGCCCTTTGCATATTGGGCGACGAGGGTTGCGGAAGTCGATTAAGAAGAGGTGTACATTTCCAGAAGAAGCTTGAGCGACTTCCGACCCGGAATCTCGTGGAAGAGGATTGACTCAGTGGTAGTCTCCAAGGATCATAATGCCCGTCCTCTTTCATCTTCTATAGTGTTGGAAGATGACCAGTCGTACCTCGGATACCCTGACTGGTGCGGTAAAAGTGCAGTAGATATAGGTGCAGAAGTGTTCAATACCCTGGATAATCACTGGGTGATCTGGACCGAATCCGCACTATCGGTGAAAATGCCAGTCACGGTCGATGAGTCGGAAGCCGTCTGTACGCGGATGGTGTTGACCAATGCGGTTATACGGCTGTATGCTTGCTTTTCATCATTGCTTGAGAGCCGCGGCTCAAACAGCACAATTGTATTGGCTTGCGTGCAGGTAAACCTACAGAAATGAGTCGGGTAGTACTGAACAAGATTCGAGGACTTTGATGGTACCAAGACCCTCCTGGTCGGTATCAAGTTCCTGGTATAGGTCGATAAGTCCTTGCCCATGATCGGGTGCGGGCTTCCCATTACCATCCATTTGACACTCGGCCAGGGCTCGTGTCATACTTCCAACCACTCAGCCAAAAAGGGCGTCCAGACAACCATCTCTAGCTAGTAGGGATAGTAGTAGTAGGGGCAACACAGCAGGGACACAACAGCTCGCACTACAGCTCCGCAACCTCTTTCTGGGTTTGAAGACCTCGTTTCGGCCTTCAGTCTGAATAAAACGATTACGATGATCGGTTCTTGGTGGCGGAGAGTTGGACACGCCACTGTCCCCGGAGCAATGTGGATGGCCGGGTACTAGATGCTACTTGGTTGTGCCAAGCTGGGTCGGACACCCGTAACGTCAGCGAAGCTCTCATCAGAAGCCTTGTTTTCCTTTGTCGCGGGATCGGTATCAATAAGAGCCCAGATGGTGGCTGAGTCGGGAAGTTTGAAGCAGCCCGCCAGGCGGGTGGGCACTTCCCTCTAAGTTCTGGATGAAAACCTTGTCATAGTCCACGCCGGCAATGCCGCAAGGAGTGGTTGTAATGGATGCCATAGTTCCTGGAATAGAAATTGATATGTTCGTGGGTTGAATGGAAGCCGAAACGATAGCGATGGTCGTCCATGTATCGTGCTAGCTGTCCTGACCGGTCAGCATCTTTGGGAACGGGGTTGATTACCAAGGAAATATTTTAGAGAGTACAAACCGAGTTTCTGCCGATGTCCAACACTGTCGTCAAGGGATTCGGTGGTGGAAAGCTGGGAGACATAGAACACTCCGCTGACCATATCGCAAAGTCGGTTGACCATGCGGTGCTGTTCGGTGAACATCAGGTCCATGAGGCCGTTCAGCTTCAGCCTTGTTAAATGGGATATTGCAGCTGACTCTGAAAAGGATTTTCCTAGGGGCGGCTGAGGACGAGGGGCCGCAGTTTTTGATGGTCACCAACTAGCGGAATGGCTCATGGTGTGGACCAGGCAAGCATGGGCCAGAGTTCAGGTTCCGTCAGGCGCGCAGCTTCATGAATGACAATTTCTGGCACCGACCATCAGGTCGGGCTGCCTCCTGTCCGGGTTGATTGCTTCTGACCCAGCAATGGGTCTCGTGTCAACGTGGAGCGATACCTGGTAGTCAGCCATATGTACACCTTGAACCGATGCCCAGTCTGCGTCGCGCAGGGCCAGGTGGCCTCGGCCCTCGGCTGAACAGGCTGACAAAGGCCTTTGGCTGGAGTAACTGGTACGGGGGCGGAGAGGGTAGTTTCAGCATATTCGCGTATCGCTGATACTCCGCGAACCAGTCCGCTTCGTCAACAGCGTCATCCATGATCTCCAAGCGGCGCAGGCCCGAATACAGTATGGCTAGGTAGCCACACATGTCAAAGTTGTAGAGTGGAGTTGCGGTTAGGAACCAAACATGCTGTGCTTCGAGCCGAGCCACGGCCTGGTGGACTCTGATCCGGATGGTCTTGGCCGCGTGGCCTTCGTCAGCGGCTTCCTGAGGTAGTCGGACGTGTGGATCGAACTCCCCTGAAAGAACAGAATGGTAAGGCGTCCCCGAGGCGGGCCGTCAGGTCGACCAAACACGTATCTATTAGTGCATTCAAGCCACCCCCCAGACGGACCTCTCTCACCGAACTGCCTTTTCTATCGCACTTGGAGCCACATCCATTTCCCTAATAGGTAACTCCTTTTCCGCAGCCGCGTTGCCGCTCTAGATTTCCATCTATTCGGCACGCGCATTGGCCGGCGGGCTGTTAATCGACCAAGAGAATCATTTCTTAAAGACGGTCTCGATTCCTAGCTCTGCGAGCCGGCGTATCCATATAGATGATGGGTGCTTCAAAACAGCGCGAGCGATCTGGCTGATATCTGGGCCACACAGTGATTGTATTTTCCGTTATCCCAACAGGATGGAAGTGAATTTCCCGACCCCCTGCGTGGGTAGTCATCGTCACTGACAGTCTCCGCGGCCTCCTGTAACGACGCCAGCTGCTCGATTGCTAACGTGTTGTCATCCGGGGTTTCGTCGTCACGGTCGTCCGCGCCGTCCACCCACCGGCCCTTGCTCACTTCGAACACGGTGCGGGTGGCCCATGTGCCCCATGTACTGTATGAAGAGAGGACTATCGTTCTGGACGTCTGCACGTCGCGATCGTCAGGCGCCTCAAGGCGCGCCTTGGGCTCATCGAGTGTGTCCACCGTGAGCGTCTTCCGCATATAGTTTGAGGTGTGCGCCGAGTTCCTATGGAACAGTAGGATGGTGAAGGCATCGCCTAATCTGGCCGTGAGCTCTGTGAGCCATGTGTCGACCAGCGCAGATGGGCAGAGATTTATGGTTTGCTTGTGGGTATGCATCGGGTCTTTCTCCGCGCGAATGGACGCATACCAGAGGAGCGTGATGGTCGTGGTCGTTTTGCCGGTGCCGCAGGCATCGAGTTCGCAACCAGTTTCCAGTTTTTCTTGTCTTCTGGATCGCCAGCTCCATTGGCATACGTCCACGGAGTTGGATCCGGTCGTGCCACTGCGTTGTCCATGTATTTGGTTCTGGTCGGCGTATCATCTGGGAGGAGGTCGATGTCGCTGTTGTACGCGTTTTGAAGCACGTCCTGGAGTTGGGTACCATCCATATCTCGTATCATTCTGCTCTAGTGGACGCACTCCAGAAGACCAAGCGGACGCTCTGCTCGACTGAACAGATGGGCACTTTTCCTGCGTGAATTATCAATCTCGACGAACAGGTCGAAGGCTGTTGCCATTGACGTTCTGCTCATTGCCGCTAAGCAACCAAGTCATTGTGGCAATAGCAATTAAAGAGCAACGGTCAAGTAGTGTTCGAGCACGATTCAAGGACCAAGGCCGAAAGTCGGTACAGTGATTGCTCAAAACAGCATGCGGCTGGTTCCAAGCATGAGTCATGATCATTCATACTGCCGTGATTGTGCGAGGAAAGGGAGTATGACTATTAAGGTCATCGAGGGCAGCTTGAAATCTGTTGATTGCGAAGGCGAGTTCTGTAAGCTTGTTCTCAACAGTTGCCTGATACGCAAATGCAGCATCAATGCGCTATCAATGCTCGGCCTCTGAAAGTGCCAAATTGACTCTTGATAACTACCGCAAGCGCCCATAATGCCATCTTGAACTTCTCTGCTGTTCAAGCAGTCGGACTCGCTAGGGCTCATCAAAGATGCGAAGGGCCCATCAATCTTTCCCTTTAATTATTGCCGGCTGAATTCCGCCTGGTAGAACAGAAACTGTATGGCAGCAACTAGAAAGATGCACCATAAATAGATACATAGATTGTCAACATGAAGAATGGCCACAGGGTCATCCGTTTGTTGATCGAGACAGACTGACCCCTTCGCAGTCTTGCGTTTTGAAGAGCGATGGGCCATGGTGGTGGCCGAAGCCTGCTCGCAAGAATGAAGGCAGTGCGCGAGTACAGGATGTTAAAGGCGCCAGTGGTTGCTGAGTATATGTCTTAGGACGCTCCGGACCCAGGTAGCCTCCTGCTCGAGCGGATAGAACTCTTTGCCTCCATGACATGGCGCCCAGTCCATTGCCCGGACGGCAGCCCCTGATTGTGTCTGTGGCACGAGCGTACTAGAAGAAGCGCACTCTTCTTCCAATTGCGAGGATTCCATTCGCGGGGCGTTGAGGGGCGCGACTGTTTCCACGCTGCATGCTGAGGTATCTCAGCAGCTGGTCTGCCCAATCCAGCCAAACTACATGCTGGCCTTCGCCTTCTGCCGACTTGCATTGTGTAATTAGAAAGGAACGGCGTGTTCCTCCAGATATCTCCAGGATATTGAAATCCGAAAAGCCCCTGGCTCCTCCAGATCGAGTATGCATTGCCAGTGGTCGTTGTAGTTTCCAAAATGGTTTGGGCGGCCCTGGAGTTGGTCTTCAGAGCTTTTTTCTTGGCTTCCAGTTGCGTTAATCGTAGGTCTACGTTGATTATATGGTCACGCATGGTGGCCCATATATGTGCCCATCGCCTCCCAGTATCTCGGTCAGTGAACATGTGAACGATGTTGCGTCGGATCAACGGCGTCCTAGAAACCAACAAAATAGAACCGCGCGTGTGATATACCTGTTGACTGGGTCAAATACCCAGTTCAAAATGGAGTTCCAGACTCCATTCACGTCTCCTCCTTCCACACTGTGTTTGACGCATGTTGCATGCTGAGGTATCTCTGCACCTGGGCCAACTGCCTTCCAAACCAGGCCACTTTGGCATCGTCACCTCCTTGTGCAGCATTACCTGTTGACCCATATCTCGACAGAGCTCATACTCTTCTTCCGCCGTCGAGCGTAGAAGCTCGATGGCCTGTCTTTGAGCTCTGAGACTCACGTGGTAGAGGATGTATTGAAATACGGACCTTGCACCTCGATGCCTTCGCGGTGTAGGGCTTTCAACTATTTCCTGATAACGATTCCTTCTCTCAGGGCCATCGGATTTATGGCCTTTCTGATGGCAGGTTTGACAGACAGGACAGGTAGGGCACTGATCTATGATGTGTCCCTCTTCACGACAGTACGCATGTCTTCAGGCGATCCCAAAAATCCTCGAATGCGGTATCGGCTTCCTCGAATTGTCGACGTACGAACGCTCGACTAGACGTTTTATCTCGGCAGTGAGTGGGAGCTGTGGGCTCTTCTGTGTGTCACTGGTCTTCGAGCTTTCCAGCTTCAAGTGCCTGTTCTGCTGTCGAATTGTGGGCACCACTGCAACCTTCGTTATGGAAAAGAGCTCTGCGACATGGCGAGTTGCGTTCGGGTCTGCCCATTGTTCCCACTGTGTCCTGGGCCTTCCATTCCCCCGACTTGCATTGAGTGATTAGGAAGGACCGGCGAGTCCCTCCGGCTACTCTCATGGAATGGAAGTCAGAGAATCCCATCTCTCCCCGGTATTGCATGTGCATGGCCTGGGGCGCGTGATGAACCCATCGACCGGGTCAAAAACCCGGTTCAATATTGAGTTCCAGATTCCGTTGACCTCTCCATTTACCCTGTGTGGCCCATGTTGCCGAACTGCGTCCTGCGATTCGCCTTGCCCCGAGTCGAAGCAGGCGTGTTCCATCGGCTACAGTCATTCCTAGATACGTATTAGTTTGAATAACCAGGGAAGATTAAATCCACACACCATGTGAGACACACAAGGTCGCAATCCCGACGGAGATTCTCGAAGACGTTCACTCCTCGTCGCTCAGTGCCAATAGGAAGCCTGCTCGAATCCTGTCCCTTAGTTCAAACCGGATAAAGAAATCCAGATCACTGGGCACGAAGAAAAACATTGGGTCCAATGCATCATTATAATATGCATGGCAATTGTAGCATAGCCCGACAGCATTCATCATTGAAAGTGGGTCAAAGTTGATTAGGCCTCGTTCTGCTAAAAACCTTTATTAGTGATAAGGCACTTGTCATGTTAGTTATGAAAACCATACTGCTCCATCCGCTTTCCCAAGTACATGGGCAATCTGTATCTTTATTGATCCGCAAGACCAACATTCGTCACCCATTCTCCTTATTTTTGTCTTGACGTGGTCTGGAAAGGAGCCAGATACGACAGCGCTATTTTTGCTGCTTGATGGCCGAGGAGGCGGTGGCATGCGATTGCTCTTAGACGGCAGTGATGCAAACCCAAGCAGTAAAATTTGTATACCTTTCCAGTACTTCCTCTTGTCGGAGAAGTGGGTATGTCTTCATCAGTAATTTGGGGTTGACTTTTCTCATGTCAACCACAAACCGTGGTAGGATAAGCGAATGTGGAACAACAATTAGAAAACCAAAGAGAAGAAGAGAACATCTCGAGAGCCACAAGAAGCTACATGTTCAGTTCAAAGCAATCTTAAGCCAGTTAAAGAAGGAATTCCGTACAGGCCGCGAGCCTTGACTCTTTGCCCTGCACATCGAGTCCGTAGTTGACACATTTAGAACATCTTCTGGACTGGGGATCCCCAAATGCACCATTCGGAAGAAAGTCTGGCGAATCTTTCTAGTTGGGCGGCGTAAGGTGTGACCATCGTAATTCACACACGGATGTTTCGCCATGGTGGAAAGGCTTCAATGATTGGAATCTAGGTTCCAATGAATGAGAAGTCGAAGAGAAGGGGGAAATTTTTAGGCCACAAACAAAGACAGCCCCACTAGCGAGAAGAAAAAACAGGTCTCAGGCCAGCAGGTACATAGGTACCTATCTCTCCTCTTGTATCCACCATGCTGGTAGTTCATGACCCAGCGGCTGTGCACCTTACTCTCATCATCTTGCAGAGGCGCCTGGAAAGGAGCCCTGAGTGCTCACGCTGCTCGAGACCCTGGGGATCCCAGATCACATATGGGAAGCGGCGAAGCTCGCGATGTTCTTTGGCACAAATCAATTGGAGCAACGAGCATCCAGGTGCCGGCAAGGCGTGGAGCACTGCCTTCGAGGTTCTGAACGAACGTCTTATATGGGAATCCCGCACCCGATCCCAATGCCATGCCTCTTCGGGACCAGAGTCGCTGTGAGATGCAAGGCGACTTGCCCGCACACGATGATACCAGGGTGTAGATCTTGGAAAACTTGGAGCCCTGAGAACCCCAATCTGACGCTCGAGATTTTGAGCTGTTCCGCAAAGCTCCATGGTGTTCTCAGTAATGAGGGTAGTTCGAGAAGGTCTGGCTGGGCAATTGCTGAAGACATAAGCACCTTTGCCCTGCGCTGGTGGATGTAGGTTCATGTGACAGGCCTTGGAACATTCGGCGGCACGAGCTGCCACTTTTCGAATTTTCCGTATGTCGATTCTACGAGTAACTAAACTCTTTCCATCCCAGTTGTTCTTTCGCTGTGTGAACTGTGGGCTGGAGTTGCCATGTATCTCCGCCAAGCACCATGGCAGCTATCTTCGGAGAAAATTTGCACTTGACAGTTTTCAATCCAATCTCCCGATTCTTGCCCGAGCCGTTTCATGGTCGTGTATGTCCCGGTGACGGCTGTCGAAGTAAAGGAAGCTGAGGACGGAGTCAATTGGGAGCCGGGACTGACGTTCCTTTGCAATATTATGCAGCAAATCAACCGACCTCGAAGTACATCGGAATTTGCTTGCTATCATACACTCGTTGCCTGAGATTGGTGAGCAAGGCCTGCATAGAAGTCTTCCCATCCATGAATCTTGATACCGGCCAAAAACGAGTTCAAATTCGAACGTGAGAGAAGAGGGCGTAGTGTTGCCAAGGACAACTTGTAGAGTTCCCTGCTCGAGAACAAAGAGCAGGATTGCTGCATGCGTGCTGCTCCCTTCCCCTCAGGAGTGAGGATGACTTGAAAACTTCCGCGGCTGATGGTTGTTCGCCAGGTAAGCACTCGCCTGCCCTAAGTTAGGTTTTGCCTTGCGAGAGAAGAAGTGGTAATAACTCACCTTCCCCGACTATGTTCAAACAAAAGCCTTTGGAACGCCAAATTGTGAAGCTATCTTCCTCACGACCTAGTAGGTTTCTCAGATACAAACTACACAGATCGGTCCTGCTTTCGCTTCAGAGCAGTAATCCGGGTCTTGACACCGGACTGTCGTTCGTCTCAGCCTGTCAAAGTTATGGCACTCACACTCTCCGATTGCACGAGGGATATGCACAACTGCCCGGGTCAATCGTTTTCGCGCCCCAGTGAGATGACTCGGTGGAAACAGGACTTGATGGAAAGGAGACTTTGATGTGCCTATGGGATACAAAGGCACAACAGACCCATAGCGCGCGCCCACGAACGGTGAGCCTTATGTCGTTTTCCACGCACGGCGTGTAGACTGACAAACGTTCCCGGAAAGCTTTCTCCCTCCAACCCCGACCCCATCGTTTCCCTGGTAGGTACCAGACGGGCTGATTGATAATCACCCTAGACGCCTGGTTCGCGCGAACAATCGGACAACAAGAGACGTCTCCATCTGATAACTGAACTCGTGTGCTCGAATATGGACTATCATCCGTATAGGCAGTACAAGCAGAGTCAATCATCATGAGAATCTTCGAAGGGAGATGACGTAAATGATTAGCGACTGCAGATGGGTGTTGTACTCCCCAGAAGACAATAAGTCGACGCCCGAGTCGGAGCCACTCAGTAGGCCGTATTTGAACATCATTTGGGAGTTGTGGTCACGAGGGGCAATATGTTCTCTAACCTGGATGAAGTAAGCGACGGTTGGGACATTCCGGGTTCCATGCGTGCGGATTGCTTGCATACCTTGTGCAGACGCTGGCACCGCGTACACTTCTGGTTGGGCACAAGGCGATAGCAGGCGCAGACGCTGGCCAACTCGCGGTCTTTGATTTCGAATGACTAAATACCGGAACTAGTTGCTGTCCTCATCATCCAGGCCCTGGATGGCAGTGAACTTGTCAATGGCCGCTATCTCTTCCTTCACAGAGGGCGGAAACTCCGCGCCTCCCTGGGAGGTTGCTGACGCAGAACTGGTTTGCTGAGGCGGACTAGCAGTAGGGCTCTTAGATGAGACAACAACGCGCCAACGGACTCGAGGGTTATTGATGGTGAGAATCTCATCTCCAGACTATCTACCTGTCAGCTATTGTGACACGACAGCGACTACACAATCAAGGAAAGGGGTACTCACAGAAGATTCTATCAAAACTACACCGGCCAGCTGAGCTGGAAAAATTCCAGCAGCCAGTGTACGCCTTAATTACCGCACTTGCGCGTCTTTCTGCCATAATCTCATTGCATCGTGCATGTCCAAGGGCAACACCGTAGTCCATGCGGCTTCTAGCCGCGAGGGGAGCTCTCGTAGTCATGGCGTTTTTGCCAGGTAATCTTGGTGCCACGACGCAACGTCACGTACATTTCATGTCTGTCCTGCGAGGTCATGAGACGACTAGAAGTCCAAGTAACAGTTAGTGCGTGCTGACTGAGAAGGGTCCATAGAAGGGCACCAACCAGTTGTTGAAGTCTGTGGGAGAATAGACTGTTGTCCGAAGCTGTTCGATGGTCATGCGCACAATCCGTTCAATGAATCCGACTGACCAAGGGCAGTGACAGGGGCGGTGATATGTTTAACCCCCTTCTTGATGAGGTATGACGTGAATTCTTCTCCTGTGAAATGACTTCCGTTGTCGATATAAAGGTATTGTGGCAGCACAGATTCGCCATTTCTCTTGCAGACGAATGATATCTCCATTCTTCTATCTTTCTTGTCTCCTTTCCGTGGGTTTGGAAAGCCCTAGCTTCCGAAACTGGCCTGTAACCAAGCAAGATGTCCATAGACATATGAGTTAGATGCATAAACTTATCAGCAGTCTCAAAAGCCGCATCACTGCGAAGTGCGTGGGAGTGGTGTAGATGACATGAATGCCCAGACGGCAAACAGCGGCGATTTCCATCAAAGGTTTACCCGTCCCCGGAAAGCCCGAATCCCTTCGTCTGCAGTCAGTACCCGAAGGCTAGGGCTCAGGGTAAGGTTCAGGCGTTATTGTAGTAATGAGCCCTCCCTAGCTTTGCGGAGAGCAACTTGACAGAGCTGTTTATGCTAGCAGCGAGATACGGGAAGTTCTCTGCAGGCGTCGTACGAGCAGCTGCCATAAAGCATTAGCCAAAGACCGTTACTAGCGTTTTGAAAGTGTTTCGGCTTGGGTGCATACTCCCCATAACCTCTTGTCTTGAGATCTTCTTTGATCATCGTAAGGCAGCCCCCAGGCTTCGAACCAACCAGCGACGCGAGCAATGCGGCAAATGCGCCATTTTTGACAATCCTCGTAAAGTGTATGGGGATAGTCTTTCCCTTGTGGCTGCTGGAACCAGCTTCGTTGTAAATCGATTTGTTTGCCACTATTTCGGCTTGGTGAGCATCTACTGGTGATGTTCAAAGTTAGAACGCCCAGGACAAGCGACACCAGTCTGTGGTCGTGCGACTCCAAAATAAGGCCGATGGCGGAGAGGTCCTATAAACTCAAGCGGTGTGTAGAGTACAGCGTATTAACTGGTAACTGTCAAGAATCCATTAGATCCATAACTACCGCAACGTTGCGGGCATTGGATCTTGAATATGTCGTAGGGTTGATCACCACCTCCCCATCGCTCAAATCAAGCCCAATAAGGTCCATTTCATTTCTGAATTCGACATCGTCGGCTTTGAGCTTGAGCCATTCGAGGAGTTTGTGAGAAAACACTGGACTCAGTGTGATTGATTTCACAGATGAATCATTTGTCATTTTCCCTTCGTATGAGAAGTCAGAAGGAAATTTTGAAAGACGAGGATGCATGCGATGTTATTGAGACACAATGACCACTGGACATCTGGCGCAACGGAGTCTATCGAAAAGTGATTTCCCGATAGCAGCCAAACTTTATTCCAATACCAGGGTTTGACCTAGATATCGACTAAGCGTCATTGCAGTGCACTCGACGAGAATGTGAATGCATACCTGGCGTTTTGGGGAAAGACTTTGGTATCGTCAGGCAACACAGCAGATTCGTACGTGGAGTAGAATCCGTATGCGCAGTTATAGTCGTCGACTGCACTGACTTGACCCGTCGCTGTCATATTAGCCCTAGCCATACGGCAGTTCAAAGGAGTAAATACCCATCATCTCAGAAGAAACCCAAAGAATTACAAACGTGAGGAATCCATGTCAGCAAGTGAGGCAATCCACATAGCACATTCCTTTCCAGAAGGAATACCCTGATTGTGGTCCCCTGATCATGTCATGAGAGACCACACAGGACCATACGTTCCATTGAGGAACTTGAGATCGTCCATGTATCGGGCAAGTTGTACTGCAACATTGTCTCCCTCACGACGGGACAAGCCTCTGGTTAGCTTGACTTTGACCTGGCCTTGGCCTTGAGGTGTCTTTTCCGGGCGCCGTCTGGGGTCGTTGAAAGCTAAGGACCAAACCTCATACTGTGTGAGTTGGTCGGGTCGCAATGTAAACGTGGAGTCGCTGGGATGAGTTGTGTGATGGCCTGGAACTACACGCAACGTTGGCAGAGGAGACCAGAGAATGCTCTTCTGGTCATCAGTAAGGTTTAACTGAGCCATTATGAAGATGTTTTATGATGCGTCTGGATAGCAGTGATGTACTGTTCCCGGCTTCCGTCGTGAGGGAAAGGGAGGACATGCGACGTTGAGTAACTGTGACAGAAAGAGTTAGTATCTATTACCAACATCAACCGTGGCGGTGGAATTTACCGTCTATTGATGCGCATAGCCCGAGCTCTGCCGCAAATCAAGGAAATATACCTAATTTCGCAACGGAGGATACGTCTCCAGATGAGTTGCTTCTCCGTATAGTCCGGGGTCTTTCTCGGGGCCCTCGATCCTGACCTCCATTCTGGGTAGCTCGATCAGATCCTGGGAGAGGATGTACAGGCCGCAACAAATAAAGAATCCGATCATAAAGTAGTTGCCGTTGACGGCAATATCCCCCTTCAGGGGAGGCATTTGGATAGTGGTGGCCATTTTCGATAACTGCTCTGGAGGTGTGCGAAAAACTATATCAACGAGATGAAATGACAATTTTCCAATCTCCCTACGAGATCACGCACTCTTTTTGCCCTGTTTCGCTCGTCCTACCAATCACATGGTTGGATGTTCCTCGCGGTCACCAAGATTAGCAGTTCCCTGGTTAACATTATCCAAAAGTAATGCCTGGGAAAAGGTAAGCCCTCCGCTTAGGCTTTGAGACGCCTGAACTGTGATTTGAGGAAGGTGACGAAGTTGCTCAAGTCTTCGGATAGGGGCGACGACGAGATGGCTGACCAAACGCCAGGCCGTACGGGTTGAGGTGCAGGCATTGAGACTGGTGAACGGATGGAGACGGATCTCAATTGAAACGAATTCATGGTTGTACGAACTAGGAAGACCAATATAGAATCTGACCACTCTGCAAGGCAATCAAATCAGAAGGTTTGCAAGATCAAAGATGAAGGAGATCCATAGGCAAGCCATCATCGCGGAACATAACTGATGACTGTAAAGTATATAGCAAGGGAGATGGATGGAAGAGGTGTGAGATGAGCGATGGAGAAGAGGGTAGCAGAGGGAATATTTATGCCAGCGAAGGCTGCGACCAAGGTGCAGTGAATACACAGCAGTGAATGGCCTAGGATCTCATTCAATAGTCTCCTCCGTACAAACTGTCTGAAGACGTATTCACTCTGCTTGTTTGCCCGGATATCTCTTGGGAGTGAATAGCATGACCGGGTGGCTACATCCTAAGATTGAACCAATAACATCACCTCATCTGCATGAGCATAAATAATAAACTCAGTTGTAATGGACCATGGTATATACAAGAAACAAGTGCAAAAAAGTCAGACGAAAGACGCTCAAAGCCGGCAAACAGACATCCCTGCAATGCAAACGATCAACCGAACCACCATAGCGTTTGACAAATCATACATCAGACCTGGACGCTGGACCCATCACTCTTCTTGCAGGAACATGCATTTGCTCCCGCGGCTATCTGCGAAGGAGTCCTGGCGTAGCTAGGAGGGACATCCAACGCCGGATTGCGAGCGAAGAAGTTTCGCGGGCGGAGGAGCACCGTCATTGGCTCCGCAGGCATGATAGGATAGTCTTCAGGAGACGGGAAGTGAGTGAGACCGAACGTGTGCCAGAGGACAATATCCGTGTTGTCAATTGAGCAGTTGGGGCCCGCTGATTCAATCCATGCTGGCAGGCCTTCAGAGGGCTCACCGGAAGTCTGCGGGACATGGCGTCCTGCAGGGTGGACCTGGTCATCGGAGTCTGACATAGACTATTAGTTTGACTGACATACAAAGACGCAAGGGATACTTACATTTGGTGACGTGCACAGCGTGTCTGGCAAAGCCGGCGCGCTTCCAGACCAACCCGCCCTCCTTGGGAAGAAGTGAGGGAACCTCCCGGCTTACGAGCTTGTAGCAGACGGGCTTCTTGCTATGGGGGTTCAGCTTGTTTGTGTTTGCCATCTCCCATGTTCTGGAGGTGGCGCCGTTGTAATCCGACATGGCCTCCAGTGGCGTGGTGAATTTGGTCTTCTTGGCGTAAAAGGCGTTGCCGTACTTGTTCTCCGCACTCCCGACCTCTCCGGGGCCTCGCTCTGCGTCCACCTGGAAGACAGTGTTGTTTGGACCGTCAATGTTGGAGTCGATACGCAAACAGAATAAGTGCTGGTGGTTATGGGCGTTGACGCCGGGGTAGACCTCGGTACCCCAGCCCTTGGTGTCCTCACCGGGGTTCATGGCGTAGGTGTTAAGGATACCAGTTAGTTTAATATCAAGCTGAACGGTACCGTCTTGGTGGAAGATCCAGTAAACGCAGTACTCGTAGTTGGCGGCGGTGAAAATGTGTGAGATGATCAGCTTGCGTCCACGGGTGACGATGATGGAGTCGTCCCGAAAGTCGGTGTGCTTGAAAAGTATACCGGCATCTTCCTCGTGAATGCAAATGGCGTTCTTTACGATGGTGCTGGCACCTGCACGGTTGACAAAGGCGGCGTCCATGTAGTGGATAGCACCCTTGCAGTCACATCCAAGCGACAGGCTGTTGGTCATGTATCCACCGCCGTACTCGCCTAGATCGAATGCGTGTTTGCGCTGATGCGGATGCTCGGGGTTACCGTATGGAACAACCATTTCCGCCAAGGAGAGACGATAGAAGACTGGTCGAACATTTCCTTTGTCATTGAAAGTGATGTTATTGAGCACAATGCCTTCACGGTAGTTGAAGCCAACGTGGATACTCCAATTCTGCCACTGGATGGTGCGTCCGTCCAGCTTGAAAGACACACCCTCCGGCTGAGTGATATGGATTGGCTTAATGTCTGTCCGGTAGCCGCCATCCTGCTCAATTGCCGCTGGGTGGTAGTTGTTTGCCGGGGCCCTACTGATGGGTCGTCGTACTGGTGGGATATCGATGTGGATGATCTCCTGGGTCTCCGCATTGTAGATCGGACAAAAATCCAGAGGAAATGTGTACTGGGAGTCATCGACATGGGGCCGGTAGTACATCAGCGCCTGCTGCAGACGGACGTCGCTACCAAAGCGCTCATCGTAGCCAATCGTCCAAGCTATACCACAATCAGAAACTCTCAATCAGCAAGTCAAATCACAGAATAGTAACTCACGATCGCAGTAAACCTTGTGCATATCCTCCTTGGGGATCCCAAGAATCCCACACTGCTCAATAACCTTGGGATCCTTCCGAGCAATATGCTCAACCTCCTGCAAATCCTCCATCGTGATAAGCGGCTGCACACCTGGTGTATGCTTCCACGAGACGATCTTCTTCTGATCCAGATCGACAATGCCATCGTAGATCTTACCACCAGGCGCGATTACAACGACATCGGCAGCACGCGCTGGTCGAGGCGCATTCTTGGGATCTGCGAGCCAGGCCATCATCTCCGCCTTCCGAGGCTCATACAGAGTCACTGCGTTGAAATTGACCTTGCCATGTTCCTTGCGGATAATGGCAACTGCCGTGTCGATTTCTTTTGTTGACAGGGGGTCAAAGGGATGAGGTGGAGGTGAAGAGGCGCCGACCTGGTAGGTCAGCTGCTGAAGGCGCTCAAGAACCATACTATATCACAATGAGGATGTTCAGGATGAAAACAAAAGAATATGGCTATTGTCAATATCCTCAGATAAGATATGGCTGTTGCAAAGATGCTTGACTGAAGCACTTAAAACAAAGATCCTCCCCAGCAGGGGACGAAGCAAAATATAAACCGGAATCATGACTGCATGATTGCATTAAGACCTCATACTTGACCACTGGATAGGTAGATGATGGCTGCTATCAACCCGATAAGAGGCCCGGATCTCGTTTCCTGATCGGGCATAGCGTGCAATGTGGTGCAGCTCGACCCAAAGCGGTAATGGGATGCTTGTCTTGGTGCTTCCATCTCGAGTCGAGTTGCAGTATGTAGCTTCGTTCAGAGAGCGGGGTATCTCGTCGCTGGATCGTATCGGATGCATTTGCTAATAGTGTTCTCAATTATCGTGGATACGGTGAGAAATGCGTACCAATGGCCTCGCGGAGATCTTGGGGCCTTGCTTCGGATAAGGTACTGCCTGCAGAGCCAAGCTCACACCAAGCTACGTGTGCCACCGTTGCAATTGCGCATTAATCAAGGACAGGGATTTTAGCTCAAACTGTCCCCGGAATCGTGATCGTGGACCTAGAGCGTTTGGGAACCAAAGAGACAAGGACACTGGAGCTTAATATGATTCATTCGCGCCACCAAAACACCGAATACACCATCCTTGAATACTGCCAACGCAGACTAGAGGCAGGGAAGTCACAGACCCTGATGATGAACCGAGACAGTCGAATAACGGAAGAAAATGCAAAAAAAGAAATAACAATGAGATAGCACAAGCTGTGCCACAAAGCTATGTACATCCATCATATCGTATCAAATCCATGTCCCACCACCAAAGCGAAAGCCATCACATACTGCGATGAACCATGAGGAAAGGGGAAGAGGAAAGGTGGACGCCGGTCAACGCACCCAAAGCATTGTCCGAAGGACAGGAGACAACAGGAAGAAGCCTATACAGGACAAACGAGGCCCAAGGAGAAACCAAATGCAAAAGCATGTCATAAACTCCCTCCGAACCTTACCCTGATCTAACACCTTACAACAAGAGAAGCAAAGTATGGACCCGATGAAACAAAGCTCATGCCTTCCCTGTTTGAAACGCCCCCAAGACCCCACCTGCACCACCAGGAGTCAGTGCACCACCTAAATTAACACCGTGATGTTGAGGAGTTTGACGACCGGTATTGGGTGTGCTCGGTGTCCCGGCTGCCGAGTAGATAGTGGCTCCGTTGAGATTCGGTGTTTGATGAGGTTGCATGTGATATGTCAGTGCTGGCATTTGGCCGTTCAGACCCCAGATTTGCCCCGAGTACTTAGCCTCATCGATCTTGCCATTGAAGATCAGCTGACGCATCTTCCAGTAGATCTCGCCCGTGACGAGTGAGTCAGACCCTGCCTGATGCGCAATGCCGACCCGCTTCACACCGAGCTCGTCCGCAATGTCCTGAAGACCGGACTTTTGGCCCAGGCTCGTCAAGATCTGCACGGCGGCTGGAGTCAGCGGCGAATCGTTGACAGCTTGATTGCGTCCTGCATGTTTCATCAAGTATTTGATGTCATATAACGACGGGAAGAAAATCTTGAGAAGTGTGTGGAAATCCTCCTCGTTCTCTGGCAGAGGTTGGCACAACATGATCTTCATTAGGTAGCCGAAATCGTAGCCGGAATGGAACGAAACCCAGTGTACATCGTCGAGTAGGACGAGTCCAGAACTGATCAGAAGGGCTCCAAACTCGAAAGGATCGATTCCATTCTTTTCGTGCATATTGAAGTCAATACCGGCCTTGGCAAGCATGGCTGTCGATTCCTGCGCATACATGTCGTTCTCTAATGAAAAGCGGAAGTTGAACTGCCATGTGCACGGAGCGGGTACCAGGCTGTTTCCCAATGGCTGTCCATTTGCATCTGTAGCATTGGGCGGAGGGACTTCCCCGTCGGCCGAGAACAAGGTGATGCCGAGTTGGATCATTTTCAAGAGGTCAACGTTGCATCGAAGGGTCTGGTAGTGATAATCGGCTTTATTTGTAAATGAACCGATGGGACGAGCGACAATGCCAGGAAACTCGGTATCCTGTGCGAGGCATCAGTACTTCGGCTTCTAGTCAGATCGTTTCCATCCCAGGGCAGCCATACCATGCTGATGTAAGGATACTTCTCGACCAACTGCCGTAACACGGCCATCTCCTGGGCCAGATTGTGTTTCCATACATCCCGTATCCGAGTCTTCACGCCGCCCGCTTTCGTCTCGAGAGATAACCGGCCATCGTGAGTCTGAAGTAATTGCTGTTGCTGCATCTGTGCCCCTCTCGCGAAACCGATCTGGGCCGCGTGGCTCGCCAAACCAGAGCCCCCTCCATCACCAGCCCCCGTAAACCCGGCGACAGACATGCCGTTCGCAATCCCTGTCCCTGATAATGTAAAAGGATTGATGTTAGTGTTCGGGTTGCCGGCCGCAAAACCGGGGTGGCCGCCAAGGGAGGGAGGAGGGAGCGCCGTGTTGGCCGACTGGGCGTGGGCCGGATGATGTTGAGCTTGCTGCTGTTGCTGTTGCTGTTGTTGGAGATGCGCTTGTTGTAAATGTGTATAAGGACCGCTCAGGCCAGAAGGCCCGTATCTGCCGACAGGAGGTGGCATATTGTCGTCTGCAGCGCGGGGTTGTAGCCAGGCATCTGATATTCAAGAGGAGTTGGAATCGATGGGGGTTCCAGTTTCGCGCTGGAGATTCCTCGCTGCCGCAAGACCACAAAGGCGGACAAGCTCTCGTCGCCGAATCCGGCTTAGCGCACTGCCCGAGTGCCAAGCCCTGTTCTCTCGTTCCTGTACAGCTTCAACTTCTCCCCGTTCCTCCTCGGTGGAGACTAATTTAGAATCACCTTACTCTCATCTGTTCTCGCGAATCTCCGGAACTTCGGAGACACACTCTCACCTCCGTCCCCCTTTCTACCCACCAAATCCGCATACATTCCTCCCATCCTCATCACCCAACATGGCCAACCCCACCGGCTTCGACATCAACGAATTCAAGGCCGCGGCCTCCCCTCGCTCGGTCTACGCCAAGAGAGATCCCTGGGCCCGATAGTACGATTCCGATAATCACCCACTACCCAATTGACCAATTACTAACTCTCCCCGCAGTGAAGCATGGAGATACACCGGCCCCTTCAGCCGCTTCAACCGCTTCAAGCGTATCTTCCCGGGCTTCGGTATCGCCAGCGTCGCCTTCGCCGGTTACTGCGTATACGAGCACTTCTTCCTCAAGGACGAGCACCACCACGGTGAGGGACACCACTAAGCGTGCTTTCCGGGAATGAGATGGGGAGGATACACCCAATGTGGGATGCATGGAAGTCGAGGCAGTAGCACGGATACCCCGGTTAAGGATGGACATGTTTACAAAGGTTCATGGAGAGGAATGTCTTCATTGCTGTGGGACTGAATGAGCCGGCAAGACAGGCTGCACTGCTGCTGCTGCGGGGTTGGCGATGACGAGGCTCTCGCTCTTAGAGATGGCGCTTGGGATGATTGATTTGACCGATGTACATATTCTGTTTGTTCTGTTACACCAAAACTGCTGATCTTTCTTCTATTCTGCGGGTCTACTATGGTCGTAGGGTTGTCTTTTCTTCCGCACTATTCGGACGGGCGAATCGAGAATATGAATTCTCTTGGATGAAGCATTAGAGTCGTCAAATGCATTAACTTTTCAGGGTCATGAACTGCTACCTCTCCCGTCTATACATATAATACTCTATTTACCGCAGACCAGTTATTCCTCAAAAACTAACGCAACCCCATCGTCACCAGCGGTGACGACCCGCTTCCCATCAAACCCTTGGACAAAGCCCATAATGCCTCCCGACTGCTCCCCCTCTGGATTCTCCACGAGGCCCAAGTGGCCCTTCCACTCTTTCAATAACCCCTCCGCTGAAGCTGCTGTTCCGCCGCGAGCATCCCAACGTCTGACGACGCCGTCCATGCCGGCGGAGGTGAGAAGCCACGGGCGTCCCTGCGTAGCCGCAGCAGCGGGGCGACTGGCGAGAGCGGCCAGGTTCGTCTGCAGGAACTCCACCTTGATGACCGCGGCGCCCTCGTGCGCGTCCTTGATATGCCGACGTACGGCGAACCGGTGCGCGGCATCGAACAGGGCGATTGAGCCGTCGACCGAGCCAGCGGCGAGAAGGGTCAATGGTGGGGAGGAGAAAGAGAGCGATTCGATGCCATCGCTTTGAGCCTGCAGCGAGGCCATGATCGTACCGGCAGCGGAGGCGCCACTTGCGGCTTGGTTGGCAGGGCCTTTGGCCTTGGACTTGGCGGCGCCACCGGCGGACACAAGGCGAGGAAGACCGACGACCTTGATGTGGCCCTCGGCTCCTCCAACAGCAGCAATACCACCGCCTGGCGAGATCGCGATGGAGTACAACCCACCATCCACGGCGAAGCGCTGATCCTCGGCGGTCAGGCCGACGACGGCGCTGGTGCCGGCGGAATAGGAAATACCGGCGGCCGCGGCGGCGCCCCACACATCGTATACATAGAAGCTACCGTCTTCGGAGACGGTAGCGAGCAGATTACCATCGGGAGTCCACGCACCAGCCGTGCAGGACGCGGTGTGCTGGAAGAAAGTCTGGATCATGGAGATGGGCTCGGCGGAATCGTTGTGGTTAATACGGAAGACCCAGGCGCTGCCGTCGTTTGCACCAAGAGCGATGACATTCCGCTTCTCCTCGTCGTTATTGGGACAGGGGCAAACGGCAACCCAGTTGATCTCCTCCACCTCCTGAGACTCCGCGACAAATTCCCACGAGAGTCCCGTCAACTGAGGCGAGTTATCGCGCCATGCCCGCAGCCGACCGTCCAAGCCCGCCGTCACGACGTATTCTCCCTTCGGTTCGGTGAATGCGACCGCATTGACGGTATCCGTGTGCCCTTCCAGCTTGGCAATAGGCGTCAGCGACGTTCGTTCACCCTTTGGTTGCGGATTCGACTCGTAGCTCTGGGGGAGGACAGGCCGCTCGTCGCGAGGCGTCGAATCGAAGATGTAGGCGGTATCGTCGCCAGATCCGGTGATAACGATATTGTTGTAAACCGGATGTTGCGCTACGCAGAATACGGAGTCTGAGTGGCCGTCAAAGTGAGCTGAAGAGTCGTTTTGCAATGTAATTTCTTGGTCCTCGTATGTCATGGCTTGGTCCTCGTCCTCGGGGTCCGAGTCCATGGGTTGGTCTTCATCGCGAGTGAAGATTTCTTCCGCCTCGTCGGCCTCGATGTAGGCATCTTGATCTGCCTCACGGTGGGGGTCTTGTGAAGTGGACATTTTGGAGGTTGATGAGAGCTTTATAAGAGTAAAAAGAAAATGGCCTCTGACGAGGGCGGAACGTTGAGGAAAAGGCTCTCTGAGAAAGGTGGTGATCCGGAGGTCTTTCGCTCTCTTATTCTCGGGACGCCATGCACAAGATTCTCCAAATCCTATACAGAAGAGCTTCGAATGTTTTCCCTTGCTGATCAATCAGTATCTGTCCGATAAGTCAACACCCCGCTTAGAAATTCATTTTCTCCCCCGCGCCCCTGTCAAACAATGCAAACATCCTATTCGCTGTTCTTGTTGGGCAGACTGAACTTCTGAAGAATCGTATACTCTGCTGTGTTATATAGATATATCATAGTACGAGGATATGCACGCTATATTTCGGGAATTATCTACTCAGAACATCAGAATCTAGTTGAATGATCTATAACTTGGCTCCAGCCTTTCTCCGCAGCTCCTTCTCCTGGTCACGGAGCATTCGGCGCAAAATCTTGCCGCTCGGGCTCTTGGGAATTGCATCGATGAAGCGGACTCCTCCCTTGAGCCATTTGTGTCTGGCTTTGTGATCCTCCACATGCTTCTTGATAGATTTGATAATAGCTTCATCGTCATTACCAGCGGAGGCTGACTTGACCACGATGGCCTTGGGCACTTCACCAGCGGCCTCGTCAGGAATAGCGATCACGGCGCAGTCTGCGACTGCTGGGTGGGTGAGCAGATGAGCCTCTAGCTCTGCTGGAGCCACTTGTAGGCCCTATGATGTATTAGCCAATCGAAACTGAGTGCTAGCGAAGATATACACCTCAGGGGGTGGACAGACCTTGACCTTGATCAACTCCTTGATTCGGTCGACGATGAAGATATGTTCCGTACCCTTCGGGCTCACCCGAACGACAGCCTCGTCACCGGTGCGCATCCATCCGTCCTCGAATGTTTCCTTGGTAGCTTTCTCATTGTTCAAGTAACCCAAAACCACACTTGGGCTGCGCACGACGAGTTCACCAGGCGTGTCGTAGCTGGTTACCTCCTTGCCCTCAGGTGTCATGATGCGTGCCTCGACGCCAGGAAGCAAGATACCGGATGAGCCGAGGAATACGTCTGTGGGATGGGTCGAGCAGACGACAGTCGACGTCTCAGTAAGACCTACGTTTTCGGGGTTAGAGTCCGAATGCATTGCGCTTTGATTCGAGTCAATGCTTACCGTAGCCCTGACGAACTGTGACTTTCGGATAAATCTTCTGGAAATCGGCCGCCGTCTCCATTCCTAATGGTGCTGCGCCTGTGAATAACGTCGTGACCGAGCTCAAGTCGAACTTGGAGCACACATCCTGGTTTCGCAGCATGGTAATAATGATTGGAGGGACCTTAGAAAAGGTATACTCGGTCAACATTTGCTCTATCGTATCTTCGCTCCGCGAGTTGGTGCCACTTACCAGAAAGAGGGCCGTGATCTTGAACGTTTGAATTGCAGAGAGATACGATTTGAGCTCGAATTTCGGTAGGACAATGACTTGATCGCCTCTGAAAGGCCCGGCATGGCATATAACCACCAGCGCATAAATGTGACTGTAGGGCAGAAGACCCAGCGCGGTATCGGTGTATCTTGGTCCGCCAGTTGGAGTCAGGGAGTCCCGCCATGTTTTCTCGGAGGCTGTAATCTGCAAGGTATTCGCGATGACATTGCGGTGAGAGATCATGACTCCTTTCTAAAAGCGAAATGAAAGATCAGCGTAGTCGGGTTGTACAGTGAGATTTCGATTACTTACAGGCAGCCCCGACGTTCCACTGGAGTAACACAGGAAAGCGGTTCTACGAGCACCTTCACCTGCGCTCCAATTCAACCTTTCCACTTTGGGGAGCGATTTTCCTGTCTCTATCAATTGAGACACGGTCTTGAAGCCCGATTCAGCTTCCTTTCCACCGCCGGCCTGGGCCGGTACTTCCAGCAAATAAATCCGATCCTTCGGGAAGCCGATCATTGCGGCGGCTTCCAGAGATGTAGGAAGCAGAGGAGCGCAGGTAAACAACGCCTTTGCCTTGGAGTCAAGCAGCTGATGCTTCAACTCGGCCGCCGAATATGCCGCATTGGCCGGTGACACGACACCGCCAAGCTGGTGGACAGCCCAGGATAAGGGGAGCGTGTCAATCTAGAATAGCCAGGAATCCATGATTAATATTGGCGATTCCTGAGCGATCTAAGATCAGATCACTTACAGTGTTCAAGCTGAAAATTGCCAGAGTCTTGTCCCATTCAGTACCGCTGTTAGGTGCCCAGTTCAACTCTTTGGCAAGCGCCCGAGAGAGACGGTCGACGCGTTCTGCAACCTGGGGAACAGAGTAGGATTTCCCCGTGAGTCCGCAGGTGTACGGATCTCTCGATTGGCCAAGAGGGTGACGGCCATATTTCTCATTAAGCATAAATTCGCTGATGGGAATGTTATCGGGGATTGGGGCCAGTTCGCCCGCCGTGGCTGGTGGGAGAAATACCATGGTTGTCTGCTTCAGTAACCTGCGTGACCTGCGAGATGTTGGAGAAGGGGGGAGAGAAGATGAGGAAAAAGAAAAGAGAATTGAAGGCTGAAGCAGGGGGGCTTCGGTAATAATTAGTTATACTCTACTGATTAGTCTACCTCAACGAGTTAGCAGCTTTGGTCGTAACTGGGCAGTTGGGGAGGTCTTCATTCTTAAGTAGTTGACTCGGGTTCTTTTGGTGGCACTGCGGGGAAAGCTTCTATATGCTACTTGGGTGTCTTCGGTCCAAGAGGCCTCCCGTGTTATGCTGCCGACGAGATATCGGCATGAACACGAGGCTGATGAAAACCTTTCCTCTTCAATTATCAGTAGTAATGGTTTACATTTATTATTCGAAATACGTCATGCAGATTTGACCCTTTTTCTGCCAGCATACAGGGATCCTACGTGAGCCTGCATAAACAACAACACTCTGCGTAGTCTACAGGCGAAAAATAGCCGAGGGAAATCTCCAAAAAATCTGGACAGAGTTGGAGTCTCCAACTTGGCCTCTTGGAATTGCGGTGGCTTTAAGGGGTCCATAGCAACTACATTAAACTTGTACTAACTAGTACTAGCCTACACAGGTACAGTTTAGCTCACGGATCTACAGATCCACGGCCGGAGGAGGTCCTTAACAACTACAGTCTACAGTTATGAACTTGTAGAACAAGAACATGAGGCAGTCGTGGCTTTTATCTTTTTTTTGCCTTTCCAAAAAAGAAGCACCAGTATTAGCTTTTGGTATTGCACAAGTCATAATTTCGGAATAAATCTAGCTCATGGTTGAAAAATGTGTTCTTCCAAGAATCCCACATCATTTATGATGTTAAGCGCGATATATACCTTTGAGTCATGTCATACTCCGTATGCTCTGTCGGCATGGAGTCATCAGATGGACTTCAACGACTCCTTCTCCTTCTGGTCATAGAAATTGACATTGAGCTGTTCTTTCTCTCCGCGACCTACTTCGACCAGCGGTTCTTGAGCTCAAGGTTGTGCATTAGTAGACATCACGTCCGTGGTAAGCAATCCATTGCGGTCTATGACAAGGACTGTGATCATGATAGCTCCATGGAACTGAAATTGAAAAGCTCTTCAAAGAAAATGACAGCTCTGTAGAGATCACTACTTCTTAATTGCACTAAAGCCCCCTTTTTCCCTCATATTCTTTCCGAAGCTCATCGAAAGCGTCCCTTAATTCGGCCCGTTCAGCCTCAATTATATCTTGATCAGACCCTTTAGCACCATCTTGTCATAGCTATATCCAGAAAAGTCAATTAGAGCTGAGATATATCCAATACCTTTTACACTTCTGTCACATTGCTGAGAAAACTCTCTCACAATTGCTAATCTTCCTGTGAAGTAAAGACTGTGTAAACACCAGTTACCTTCCTCCTGCCTCTTTCCCTTCAGGGTAAGGCGCCAGTCTCGTGACTGTCAGTGATCAAGATCTCAAGGAAGAGGATAGCTCTGTCTTCCTCTCTCATCTTCTTATCCCTCACGCCGCAGCTTAGCAGATTCTATCAATTCAATGAGGGGAACATCAACTATATACTCTTGACAGACTTAGGAAAGCGATCCGTTTCGCTTTCTTGATACCTACCAGCTTCTCGTCTCCGTCCAGGGTCTTCTCAATTGCGATCTGGGCCTGACCGGCTACTATCTCCTATATACTCGCTTCAAATTCTCTGTCCTCATTGTACCTATCTCGGGGATACTCGATTTCTGCTGATTGAAGTTCGAAGATTCCAGAGACACTTCAGGTTTGCATCCTGAAATATACATTTACGACGTCAATCTACCCACGGTTTCTGCTAGAATCATTAGGAGCTGGAGTGAGCGAGAGTGAGCGACGCAATTCTACATGCAGTTCCTCCTATAGACGCCAGATCCATTCCGTCTCGCAGTGAAAAACATCCTATTTTGCAAGGCAATACAGTATGAGCCCAAGCAGGCCGGCGAGAGCTGCGGCACCCAAGCCCAAGTCTGTGAGAACGGGTCGCATACGGAAAGTTCGCTCCGCAGGTAACGGGTCCAATTCATCCAACCTCCTGCTGCGCTGTTCTCAGCCTCCTCGAGGTCGTTCACATATATATCTGACATTTACCAGTCTCACCTATTAGTGCCGCCCCGCAAATCGTGACAGCAAATGGCGCTACGGAACCAGTCGATGGCCAGCCTCCCGCATGGGCTGAGGTTTGTAATCACAGAGCCCATTGGAACATTGGCTGACCGGTCTTCAAGTGCCGCCCAGAGCTATGTGATGCTCTCCCCTGGTTTCGCGCTGTTCAAGGCGGTTCTTACCACTGTGACCATCTGTGCTGGGGTTTCTTGCTGGACGCTGACTGTGGGATTCGCTCATACATCGATGAAGAGGTGGTAGTTACAAGGGTGTAAGTGCAATCCTGATTCCAAGGCATTCGTACGTGTCGTATCTAACAATACTAGCGGAGGAGGGTGCACTAAGGATGCAGAGGGCAACCTCATCCTCGTTAGAGATCAAGGCAGCGAGGACAGTGCTGTCAGCAGTCTCATTAATAGTATGGACTCGAAGGTTCCAGTGGGCCTTATAATAGGTGAATCTTCTTCTTGTCGCCAGAGTAACCCTTCCTTCTCTGATTTGATGATTAGGAGACCGCAACACACTTCTCGGAAGAAAGCTACCACACCGATACAACGTAATGGATTACTTTCGGGTCACGAACGTCTGGTACGAGAGGATCGGTGGCAAAGTGGGGGCCAAAGTTCGCTTTGAGAAGCTGAACCTCTCTACAAAGAGCTGGTGGGCAGCCAAAGGCTCTGCCACTCCTGTTCCATATTATCAGCGCCCTGAGATTCAGGCCGAGATCAACCATTGTGCCGCTTGCCAGACAGCAAGTCCACGTATATACAATGAAGGCTGGATGTGCCTGCAGCCCACCTGCGACAGCTTCTGGACAATCAACGGGTTCGAACCCCCTGTGGTCCTTACGTTCTATCTCAACTTCCTTCGAACTCGAACTCCTCCTGCTCCTGAGGTAGTGCCACACCACGATCTGGTACCCAACCTGCTACCAACGCTAGAAGAAGACGGAGAAGGCGTCAGCTATTCTCGAATTGCGTGGAAGGGCATTATCTGCCCACATTGCCAAAAGTGCATATCCAGAAAGTACTGGCATGGTTGGAAATGCACAGATGAGCTCAGTCCGATCTCGGAAAAAGGCGAGACAAGCTGCACATTCGAGAGAATGCTGACCGTGCAGCCGGTTTCTCTACGATCTGTTATTGATGACTTTAGCCTTGGGCCGAACAAACGTGCTTGTCATTTTGACTGCAAATTTGCCGTACCAGACATTGATGATGAGACACTTTTTCCGTACAGAAAGCTGACCTACCGAATTCCAGGCGTAGGCAGCATTACTCACTTTGTTGCCAACAGAATAATCAACAGTCGTCCCAACGGGCCAAACGATCTATTTCGACAGCTGCAGGTTTCTGACTTCGGGCTGCGTCGTTATCCATTACAGCAGAGTGTTGGTAAGCGAGCGAACTTTCTCCTCTAAGACCATCCTTGTTCTTCTGATCAACAAATCTTCAGTTGCTGGAACCCTCACTGCACACTTTGCTGTGAATTACGTGAGTTGCCCATGGTGTGCTGTGTCATCTTACAACGCTGAACTTTCTCAAAGGGAATGCCATACAAATATATTGTTTCAGTGGACTCCAGGCCCTTCAATGATGCTCCGGATGAGATCATGCGGGCTTTGGGTCGTTTGACGTGGGCGACTGAGCGAGCTGTAGCAGGCAGTGGAGACACCTTTCTTCCGCCAAATGAGCTACTCATGCTTGGTTATTTTGAAGACATGAAGATTGGTGTATGTTGAATGCCGTGTCTGTGCCTAGCAGGTTGCTGATGCCACACAAGTATCATGACGATGGGGAGTCGTCTCTCGGACCAACGATTGCCACGCTTTCCCTGGGTGCCAAGTCGGTCATGTCAATTCGAATGAAGTACAAGTACTACAACGGCTTGTCGAAAAGCAAGACACTCTTGAAAGATGACCCCGTATTGGTGGGTTGCAGAATGGAAGCCGAACGACGGAGCCTGAAGAGTCAACTGGCCAACGGTGAGATTGACCAAACAACATATGACAGTCTACGGCGCAAGGCCTTGCAGAAGGGCAAATGGGGAGAGGCTCCCATAGGTATCAAGATGGAGCTCAACCATGGGGACTTGGTAGTCATGCACGGCGCGAACCTTCAGAAATACTACGAGGTAGATGGATTCCAAAGCCGCGCATTATCAAGAAAATAATACTGATTCTTCGATAGCATGCGGTGATTCCAGACAAGAAGCTACGCTTCGCTCTGACCGCTCGTTATATAAAACCAGACCACGTTGAACCGGAACACTTGCCGAAAGGAGAATTTATACTGACACCTGATCAAGTATACGATGGGAAATGAAGCACTTCCCACCTCTGGGAGACAGTGCTATAAAAGTTTTATCTTCGCAATATATGGAGTAATGCCTTGCTTTTTATGCTGTTATATTTCGATCCGATGCGCAATTTTTCCGCGATATTGTTGCCTTATTTTCCAATTTGCCATTATGATGCCTGTTTCAACTCTGAATGCTTTGCTCTCTATGATGTATCATTTATGGACACTTATATACCTAAGGTAGCTGTTGATTCTCACCACTGTTTTCTCCCAATGCTAGTTCGGATCAGCTCCCCGACGGCCGATTTCACGGTTCCGAATAAGTTGAATTTAGCTGCCGACATGAACATACGAGCATGAGGGGAAGAGACACATTATGTTATAATCCAGCCTAGCAGCAGGATTACCTGGGCTATGCACAAGGTAATGTTCCTTTGACGACGTGTAACTTGAACCACGACGTAGACTGGGATATTGGTGTGATGCAGGAGTTATATGTTTTCAGTCTGGTTTCCCCGTTGACGGAGCAGTTTGAACTTTCGAAACGGAACTAACAATATAGCGTCATGATAATTGGTACAAGAGTGGACTTGTCTGAGTCAACGACTCAGATTGTGGCTGATTTCACCAATGATTTTGTGTTGGTTGGCTGTGCCATGGGCGCAGGAGCTGAATGAGGATCTGTCAGCCTTTTTGCAGCTTTGGTATGTCCTTTCCAACTGTCCCATATTCAACTCTTTTTTCTCCTTATTATCTGGATTCATATCGAGGATAATCATACTAGCATTGAGTACTCTGTCTATCTTGTTTGATGCGAAGAACACAAGTACATTGTTTCCCCGCAGCTCACGTGGCTCCGCAGTCCCTTGGGACATGACAAAGCATGAGAGCACACACACGTGTGGGGAACCATAGTCATTATTATTATTATTATCATCGTCCTTAGCCATTTGCTGCTATGCTAAGGTAGCTCCTCGAACTGAACCTAACCAGTAACCACGAGCCCCTTCCGAGTTCCACTGGATTGCTCCTGCGTGGTTGTCGCCTTAAGGCCCAAGGCTCAAAGGGATACGTGACGATCGGTCCACCCACCTGAGCCTCAAATAATCTAACAGCAAGACTTCTCTTCTCCCTTCGAAACACATCGGGTTGATGCTGAGAATTAATCCATGTCGGATTTTCTCCTTTCCTACTTTGTCCTTTTAATTTGACCGAGTTCGACTGTCTTTGTCTCCGTCGTCCCGCGGCAGTCGACTTGCGCTGCATACACCACAGCACCGTCTCGAACACCAAGGGAGTCCGAGAGAACTCCATAGGGCGGGTTTGCAGCCTTCCTCATCGTCGCCATAAATCCATCGGTCGCGTGTTTTTTGGAGTTCTCGGGTTTTACTAGTCGTGGAATTTCTTAGGGACAATGGCTCACTATCAGAATGGCCAAACGCCCTATTACGGCCAGTCCGGCAACCCTACCTCGTCGTCCACACAACCTCCCTCGTCGGGTCGCTATGATCACTACTCCAATGCAGAACAACAAAGCGCAAGTTCTCAATTACGGAGGATGCCCAGCTATAATGTGGGGGATGACGCGGGTCTGTTCGGTGGAGGTTCCAGCGCACAACACGCCCGAACTGCCAACGGGTCTACGCGATATACCGGGCAAGCCAGTAATTATGGCACTGAGGACGGACAACGGTCCTATAGCCTTGCGAACAGCGGATACGACGACGTCTCAGGACCGCGATACGCGCATATCCCCTCCCGCGGGTCGTCGCACGTAACGCGAGACAGAACTTCATCTCAGTCCAACTATTCCTACCAATACTCGTCTATCGCCTCTCCGACGCAGTCGGCCTATAATCCTCAGCAATATGCCCTCCCACCTACTCCGTCGCAACAGCAGCTAGGCTACAATCCCCTCACATATAATAGCTCCAGCGCCAATGCTTATATCGCTGGTGCGACCGCTGCGCACCAGCCATACAATCCAGCAGCGTATCAGTCGGCGAGTCTCGCTGGATATGGGTCCCCAACCGTCCAACGACAGCCGAGTATAGCGAGTTTGTATGCACAGCCTCCGCAAACACCGCAGACATATCCATCTCATCCATCCCTGCCACCTCCTCCTCCCCCTCGAGGACCAGATCATCCCTACGGAAKTCGCGCATCCGCCCCGTATCGAACTGACTCGCCAGCAACCCAGTATGCCTTTTCCACTCAGTCATCCGCATCTCTAGCCTACAATGTCGCCCCACCGATGAGCCCTACCGCACCTTATCCTTCCACAAGCTCATTAACCACACCAGCCATTGCATCAACCTTCACGCGCTCTCACGCCTACAGCTCACAGGTTCCCCTTTATGCTGGGGCGCAATCGCCCCACCACTCGGATGCGGCTATGGCGCCTTATCCTGACGAGCTCCCTCCAGAACCACCTGCGCACTCGACACCCGCGGAAGACTTGTATGGTAAACGACTCAGCTTCAGCCGTCGCGGGTCTGGGCGGTCACTGCCTACGCCACCAATTCAGCAAGCGCAATCGCAGACCTCTCCGCGCCGGACAGATACCTTGACTCGACATCCCCAATCACGGCCCTTGCCCGGTCCCCCAATCGATGCAGACAGCGATTCGTCGCCGCTCGATGATCTCAATGGGATCGGTGATCGGGATCCGCGGTCGGAGCAACCGGTAGGTTATGATGATTTGATGAGGGAAGTGGAAGCGGCTGTGATAGACGGCCGTATGAGTCGGGGGACACGATATGGCATTAGGCAACTGCATGTTGACGCTCAGACCTCACGTCAAGAAGAATATGACCCTAGTCCTCCCGTTACTGCCACCTCGAGCATGCGATTGTCTCCTGACGAGAGGCACACGCACACAAACGGCACATTGGCGACCGGCACAGGCCAGTATGTTAACTATGATGCGTACAGCGACGACAGTGATGCGGAAGCCGCGGCCGGGCTGGCCATGCTGCAAATGGCGGACGAGGAGGACAGAATCCAGGCCGAGCGGGAGCAAGCGCGCACACGGCGGGAGACTAATGCATCGATCATCAGTGCCTATGGAAGCCATTCATCGGCGCGAGCGCCATCACCTCGGCGAGACTCTCGTCAAGATGAAGTCCATTCCACGCCCAATGCGACATACGGCGGCAATTATCATGGGCGCTATCACTACGATGCTGACATGGATGAACATGCTGACGAGACTCGCAATGAAGGCGTAGATCAAGCTACAAGGCTAGGCCCCTCCGGCTCCCTCCGCAGCTCCAACGTTTCTGCGGATGACCGCGGCGAGTACTCGGACGATTATGACTACTATCCTATGCCCCATGATCAAGTGCACCAATATTATGACTACGTTTCCGCTGCGCGGGTCGATGCTGCAGGCACTGGTGGCCTGTCAGAACCTGGCGCCTACGAGCGTCGCATGAGCTTTGATTACGGCGACGAGGCAGAGGCCTATCCCGATGATGTACATCACTCGGGAAGTGAAGGATCCGATGTAGGAGGGATGCCAGGGGAACTCTTTTTCCATCCCGGGATGCGGCCACTGCCACCGGCCCCCGTTGAACCAGCGAATAACGCAGATCTTATGCCCCATCTGATGCCGGCTGGGACATATAGGCCTCAGGAATCGGGTGAATACCCGGAAGAAACCCAGTATACAAGCCCTCAGTACTCTGTTTCTGCGGATTCGTTTGCGTCGACCGTGTCCACACCAACATCTCAAGTGCCACGGTCGACGTCTCTGTCAAGTCATCCTATTGGACCCCGGACTGACCCCCCTATCAGATCCAAGACCGATGCGGATCGGGCGAAGTACAAGCAGCAACTGGATCTGCTTCGACAGCAACAGAATGGCGCCTTCAAGCTTGACGCGGCCCAAGAGGCTCCTGCGATATCCCTGGACCTACCCGCGATCCCTGCGGGACGTCGCAAGAAGTTCAATCCGGCTAAACTGTCCTCGGACCAATTCAGGAAATGTGTGGAACCTTGGGCGCTCAGTGCCATCCTTGCTTGGATTCGTGATCTGTGCGAAGAGGAAACCGACCTGAGAAAGTCGGCCATTGGCGACGCGATCGTCGCTTTGTTCACTCACAAGGTGCCAACGATGAATATTGCGGACGCAGAAACACTGGCTGCGCGAGTCGTCGAGAACATGTTAGAGCAGGAGGCTTTGGTGAAGGAAGAGGAATGGGTCAAGTTCGGCAGCGGGACCCTGTCGGGAGTCTTGTTTCAAATTACAGGCACTGGTTGCTATTCGTCCCTGCTACATGAACAGGAGACTGAGATTCTCGGGCGCTGCTATTCGCACCACTGCATGCGGACGCTGAAGAAGGTCAACCTGAAAGCGCACAAGATGGCACCGCAAAAGAAGGTAGAGGACTGGGTCACATTCTACAAGGTTCCGAAGGAAGTGTGGGAGGCTTATCCGAAGAAAGAGGTGGACCGCCAGAACAATCTGCACGAGATTGTCACGACCGAGGACGCCTTTATTGGACAGCTGGACGTCCTTCGTGAACTCTACCGGGATCAGTTGGCAAATATGCAGCCTGCCATCATTCCGCCGAAGAGATTGCCGAAGTTCCTGAACGATGTTTTTGGAAGGGTAGATGCGGTCAAGAAAGTGAACGAAGAGTACCTTCTCGCGCAGCTCAAGTACCGACAGAAGGAACAAGGCCCGTTCATTGTCGGCTTCAGTGACATTTTTAGGGAGTGGATTCGAAAGGCTAAGACGGTGTATATTGACTACGCGGCAACCTTTCCGTACGCCAACTACCTTGTTCGTAAGGAGACCGAGAGAAATGCCCACTTTCGACAGTTCTTGAACCAGGCTCGTGAGCACAAAATGTCGAATCGTCTCAGTTGGGATACCTATCTCAAAGCTCCCATCACTCGCATTCAGAGGTACACGTTACTGTTGTCGACTGTTCACAAGAACATGGTCAAGGACTCCGAGGAAAAGGCGAACCTGGCACAAGCTATTGAGGAGATCAAGGTCGTGGCGCTGGAATGTG